GTCGCCTGAAATCATATATCCTAGATAATAAATTAGTAAATATTTAATTATATCTGATTGGACCGGGTATTAAAATTCAAAATTTTGTAACAAAGCTAAATGCTAATAAACATATTTAAATGAGATGTTTAGAAAAAGGAGCGGTATTGAATCTACATAAAAAAATATGGTAAAATACCGAAATTAGCCAATAAAGTAATTATTTAAATTTTTTAAATATATATCACCGTTTATTTATACAAACAAAAGTAGGTATACATTGTCAACCTTCTCTTATTTGATATAAACTTTCAATAATAAAGAATTTATTGATTTTAAAACCAAAAATGGTCAAATTAAAGGGAAGTAAAAGGCTCAAAGTCTGTCGACCACATAAATTTATTAGGTTGGGTTGCAAGCGCTTTCGACCTAAAAGGTCATCATCAGGCAAAAAAATTTTTGTAAGTGAGTAGGTAGGTAGGTACAATCTGCAATAATAATTTAGGATAACAAAACGTTTTTATAGAAATGCTAGGTGTCTTACCACTATGTGTCCACAGAAAAAATTAAGTATGTTGAATTAAAAATTTTTAAATTGTAAAAATTGTTGTAAAAAATTGTAAAAATTGGCACGTACTGCCTCCCTCATTCAAGGTTGGATACTGTTCAATCTTGAACCTCGCCTGCCTCCATCTAATGAAGGTGGTTTCGAAAGAAATCAATTATAAAGTTCCACATGTGTGCTTAAGGCACCATGTGGAAAGTGTTACTTTTGGGGAAATACCGCTACTCCACATATTCCCAGTACAAATGGGGTAGACGGAGTTCGGTTTGTGTACACCCTTAAGCCTAAGCTTAAGGGGTATCATTAATTATTAACTTGACTTTTCTTAGAAAAATTCACTTGGCACTTTCGTCATTCAACGGTGAAGTTAAATGAGAAAATGGTGGAGAATTTACGACATTTGACAACTGACATATGATGGAAGACACGTAGTTACAATTATGGTTGAGCTAATAATAATTAAATTTGACATTAGTTAAATTGAATATGTTAAATTAGTTTTGTGACAAATTTTATAGTATAAATTTAAACAATTTGACAGGATGTCCAAGACTTTGGAGAGGCCACAAATAAATTCTGCTGGTGTTATGAAGTTAGAGTGACATTTGATTTTTAAAAAAGTAGAATTTGACATTAGACATTAGATTGAGGTTAAGGAAATTTATAATAAATATGAATTTTTTGAAAAAAGGGGCTATTATATATATTATTACAAGTAAAAAGTTGAAGGATTTACAAAGGATTTAGGAAACTAGTGAGGCTGATGGGATTCATTGTAGTTGTTGAATTGAAAATACTAGAAGGTTAATCTGGAAAAGATAGGCTTATATGTAGGTTGTAATTGATCATTTAAACAAACCACATCTGGGTTATTAATATGTTGATGAATGTAATACATTTCAAGTAAGTCCAGCTTAATGCCTTTGGGGCATTGGATAAGAAGAGAGGCGTTATCTGAAAAAGTGAAGTTATGTTTAGTATATAGAACATGATTAGCAAATGCGGAATTAGTATCTGAAATATTCGAGGATTTATATCTGTTGATGGTTTTGTAATGTTCTAAAATTCGGGTTTCTGTCTTTCTTCCTGACTGGCCGACGCACACTGGGGCAAGAAGCCCTCAAATTTGGCAATAAATAAAAAAATTAAATAGCATATACACTCTACCTCATATTTTTTTCTTATATATTACTGTCCACTACATAATAAAAGGAACAAGTGCGATCTTCTGCCTCACGCGTTTCATCACCATCCTCAGTCGAAGTTACTTATCTGAGACGAGTATATATTCATTATTATTTCGTAGTTTTTAACTTGTTTTTGTGCTGTGTTTAGGCTGTATTTTAATTTTTTTTTCAAATTTCCGCCATCAAGCCTTTAAGTTCAGCTATGTATTATTATTTTAAAAAGTAAAAAGTTGTAGAAAAATAAACGTAATCTTATAATATTGGGGTTAAATAAAATGAAGGTTAAACGTTAAAATTTTAAAATATTCTTAAATACATTAAGACTATTTGTTGTGTTCCAAAGCAGTCCAAGCTTTAAATTTCGACTTTTCATAATGAATATTGTTTGTACTTCGATCATCAAAAACGAATTCTGTCTTTTTTAATATATTTCGTTTAATAATAAATCGATTTTATTGTCCTTAGGCTCATTTTATAGGCAACTAAATGTGCTTCCAAACAGACATAACAAAATGCTAGAAATGTAAAATTTAAGATGACCTAATTGAAGAAAAAAAACGAGCCTAAAAGTAACCCATTTTAAGCTCGTTTTGCGTAATAATTATGAATTAAATATAAAATCTAATAACAAAAGTTAAATATCTAACCTATTTTCTTTATTTTAAGACCTCTCCGAGCACGATTGGTCCATTCAATCGTAAGATATAGACAATCAAAGTTATCTGGTTCTATGTTTTCATAGAAGCTTATAATAACACATCATTATGCTTTGCAACGCTGTTATTTTTTAGTTCTTGACCGATTTCAACTCAATGGGTCTGATTTGGTGGGTATGTAAATATACTTTCCGACCATTAAATTAAAATGGCGGAAATTTTAAATTCCAGGATGGCGAACCTAATTGAAATATGAGTCGATTTAGAGCTAGTTTATTTTGCACAAATACTTTATACATGGGCCTGAAATAATATCTTCTGCTTTGTTGCCTATAGACCAATTAACAGATAAAACTAATGAGGACGTCTTTAATTCGTTTTTACTTAGTTTCGACCTTGTAATCACGAGCAAACGAATATTAGAAAAGAAAGAACCTGCAGCACTTTCCTAAAGAAGCAGTAGATTTGTTTAAATCTGGACTCGTCTCGCTTCATAGCCATGGTATATTCATGACACTGATGATGACCGTGGAGACGATGAAGAAAATGTCTTACCACATTCTAAAGAGGATGAAATTTGATTACTATTATCATAGCTTTTCTAAATGAAATTATTGTAACATTACATTTTTATTATCTGTATCTTTAACATGTGGAGGGTGGATTACCCCCGCGGCACTTAGGCCTCATTAGGTCCATGACATTTTTATTATATTATATGTTAGTATTACAAAAGGAAATACATAGAGGGCTTAATAGAATATACATTTTTAATATATTATATTATTAATAACTTTCTATTTTTTTTTTTTTAGCAAACACTTTAAGGGCCCTCTATGTATTTTCATTTGTAATACTAACACCTCTACAAAGTAATATTTAACTTACAAATTCATAAAGAGAGTCTGTGATTTATTGCCAACTTTGATGGCTTGTTGCCCCAGTGTGCGACGTAGATGGCATTGCAATCATTACAATTCAGTAGATATACCCCTGGTTTATGGAAAGTGGGTACAAGATCTTTATTCCGTACTAGAAGTAAGTTAAGTGAGTTGGTACTATGTTGAATTTTCATAGCACACATGTGGAACTTTAAAATTGATCTCTTTCGAAACCACCTTCATTAGATGGAGGCAGGCGAGGTTCAAGATTGAACAGTATCCAACCTCGAATGAGGGAGGCAGTATGTGCCAATTTTTACAATTTTTTACAACAATTTTTACAATTTAAAAATTTTTAATTCAACATACTTAATTTTTTCCGTGGACACATAGTGGTAAGACACCTAGCATTTCTATAAAAACGTTTTGTTATCCGAAATTATTATTGCAGATTGTACCTACCTACCTACTCACTTACAAAAAATTTTTTGCCTGATGATGACCTTTTAGGTCGAAAGCGCTTGTAACCCAACCTAATAAATTTATGTGGTCGACAGACTTTGAGCCTTTTACTTCCCTTTAATCTACTTCGGACCACTTTGAGATATGGATAATATTTGGAATCAAAAATGGTCAGTTTAATAATGTTCAACATTATGCAACTATTTTTAACACTTGCTGCCACTACTAAAAATGTCATTTTTTATGTGAAATATGTCAAATGTTTAAAGTTGAAATAAGGAAACGAAGTATACGTACTTTATAGAAATAGAAAAAGGAATTAACGAAAAACGTACGCCCATGGGTTGGCCGCGTCCTTGTATTGTACCACAGCATCCAGCGACATATCATACATTTTACTGCGCCAATAAACGACATCATATATACACCCACCCAATCGAAAGAAAGCCTGAGAAATGGGTTAGCGGACCGTCTCAAGCATGTTAGAAGTTGCTGAGTTAAGCTTTATCTTGCATACAATACAATAGTAGTGCACTCTACAAGCATTTCGCAGTACAAGGGCTATACAATAAGTAGCAATATAATAAATCGGTATAAAATGAAAACACGAGTTTTAGAAGAACAAAAATAACATTTTTCTACTACCGTACTTAAAGTGAAAAAAGTTATTTTAGTGAAAAAGGTAACTTTTATATTTCTAATATTAGTGGATAATATGTACAGTAGCAGAAAAAAATATTGTAGGCAACTCGTGTGTAAAGTCTCTTTAAGAGTAACTTTACACACTTGTTGCATAAATTACTTATTTCGTAAACAACAAATCAGTCTACACAAAATTTCTCCACCCTAAAATTTTGACCAAGTTTCATGTTTTATAACTTTTTATGTTCTATCCCATTTTGATAAATGTATTGTGATTTCTTTAAATTATTGTAATAAGTAACATTTTTCATTTAGGCAATATTATACAGGGGTAAATGAAAATGTTGTTTATTGTAGTGAATTCAAAACACCTTGTAGCAAAATTGAGGTGGATAATATTGTTTACATATTTTTTGCTGCAATCTTATTAGAAAACGAGATAAAGTATGAGGCAAAGTAGGCTTGGAATCAGAGCTGGATTAACCACAGGGGCCAGTAGGGCCATGGTAACGCCAGGCGGGGGTGCTGCGCCACGCCGAGGCGAATGTGAACTGCTTAACATTAAGTTATCACATATATCAGGTACTTTGCGCCGTAGTTCTTTTGTTAATTTGTTATCACTAGAATCATGAGTTCACGTAAATTAAGTGGAGCTCAACGAAGGAAACTTCTTAGGGAGGAGGAAGAGAAATCTAAAGAATTGTTGAAAAAAGTTCCAAAACTAGACAATTATTTTAAAATTGCACCCAAAACTAGTGAGACGAATGTAATACAGCCACATATGGAAGATGAAGAATATGACCATAATAATGTAATAACATCTTCATCTACATCAGCAACAGGGACGTGGTCGGAAAATTCAGATAAAAATGCGATTGTCACTGCCATAAACAATGTTGTTACTGTTGGTGGTAAGTGCAAAGGTACATTTTTTTTTTTTAGAATTGACGAAACTTGTGCCTTCTAATTACCACTCACAAGACCCAGGTGTGTGTGTAATTAATACTGAATTGGCAGAGTATACAGTGAAGAATCCATTCGCTCAAAATTTGGAACAGATAGATTTTGAACAGTCTTAAAATATTGTATCCCAATGAAAATCGCAGTCGATACGCATTAAAGAAAATGTTTTTCGTGAAATTAGTAAATGGCGAGAATATCCGGAGGGAATGGCTTTTATACTCTCCATCAACCAACAAAATGTACTGTTTGCAGTTTAAATTATTCGGATCAAACCTTTCACAATTCATCAATTGATTTAATGATTGGAAGCATCTAGAAAGAATAGGGGAACACGAGAAATCTATAGAGCATCGAGAAAATACAAAACCGTATACATTACGTTCTACAGTACTCGGAAAAATAGATAGCAACATCTAAAAACAATACTTAATAGAAAAAGAGTATTGGAAAAGGAAAACCCTTCTGAAAAGGATAATAACAACTATAAAATTTTTATCTAAACAAGGATTAGCATTTCGTGGAACCGTAGAAAGATCAAATTTGACCCATTCCTAAAAACTCATTTCAAAAAACATGCAAATAAGGGAAAAGGACATGCCTCCTACCTGTCAAAGACTTTGTAATGAATTTAAAGAATTGTTGGCTAAATCCACCAAAGAAAAAATAGAAGAAATAAAGAGTTCCAAGTATTACTCAATAAGCGTAGATTCAACACCTGATATTTCGCACACAGACCGGTTAACTTTTATTTTGCGGTATGTGCAACCAATTGGATCGGTGGTTGAACGTTTTATAAAATGTATTAGCAAGGTTGGCATAAGGCTGGAGATATGAAAGTAGCAATTTTGAAAACACTTGATGAATTCACTCTACCTATCGAGGACTGCTTTGGACAGTCATACGACAATGCGTCAAATATGTCTGGCGAATATTTGGGCCTACAAGCTCGCATAAAAAACACAATGCCAAAGCTCTATACAGACCATGTGCAGTTCATTCTTTAAATCTGATAGGTTCTTGTGCTGCGGAAAGTTGTTTACAGGCAACAGAGTTTTTCATGTACTTAAATGAACTCTACGTTTTCTTTTCATCTTCCACTACTAGATGGGATATTCTGAAACAAACTTTAAGTGAGTCTGAAAATGGAGATGGAGAAGCAAGAAACAATTTGCAACCAAAAAAATTTAGTGCAACTCGATGGTCTGCAAGAGTGGACGCAACTAGAGCGCTCTATAGCTGTTATGATAGCTACCAAAATGCCCTTCAAAACTTAATAGATGATCCAAATCAACCTCCAGTAACAAAGGTTCAAGCTACTGGTTTGCGGGCTGCAATGAACAAACTTGAAACTGGAATTCTTTTAGAAGTGTGGAATAAGTTGCTACCGAAATTTGATGGTGTGAGCAAAACATTATAAAAACAGTCCACAGACGTTTCCTTAGTGACAAAATTCTACGATTCACTGATACTGTATGTAAGCAGTTTGCGAACCGACGAAACATTTGAAGAAATCTAACAAAATACTAACGATTTAACTAAATGTAATATATACAAACTTGAAGTGAACAGAATCCGAATAAGAAAAAAAGCTTTAGATGAGAGTAAAGAAGTTGAAACGAATTTTGATGGAAAACAAAATATGAATATTAACACATTTTACGTTATATTAGATAATTTGTCATCAGAGCTAATTCGAATAAAAATTGCCTATGAAAGGGTCGCAAACATCTTTGGATTTATAGGATCGTTATCTGATCTTTCGGAGGCAGCAAATTTATGGCAGAGTTATCAGTCTGAACTTGATATTTTGCAGAAGAATGTATTCAATTTAAATACTTTCTAAAAGCTTTGAAGGAAGAAAACAAAGAAGAAAACTACAATATGGCTAAGATACTACAAGTTCTGAGAAGACTTAAAATAGCAATATATTCAATTATCGACACTGCTTTAAAAAATTTTTTGACAATACCAACAACTAATGTTACCAGAGAGAGGTCGTTTTCAACACTACGTAGAGTCAAGAACTATTTGAGAAATAGTTTATCTGATTCGAAGACCAGCAATTTAGCTTTATTGTGCATTGAGAGTGAACTTGTCGACTCTCTAGATGAAGACGATATTATATCGCTTTTTATTTCAAGCAAATTAAGAAAGACACTTTAATAAAAAGGAAATGGGATTCGAAGTTTTTGTTTTATTAATTTTTTATCTTGAAATGTTTGTAATGTTATTTTTTGTTGTGTTAATATTCTTTCAAAATAAATGGAAATGGTGGAATATGACCCAACAATAATTACCAGAGCCATAGCAACTCAAGTCGATGTTTCCCAGAGTAAAGTGTGGAAAACAATACGACAGGAACTATATTATCCTTATCATTATCAACTGGTTCAAGCATTACAACCTGAAGATCATCCTAGAAGAGTTGAATTTTGCCAGTGGTTTTTACCAAAGTTGAACAGAAATGAAGATTTTACGAAAATAATTTTAGCTACAGACGAATCCACATTTACACGAAATGGGATATTCAATTTTCACAACAATCATGTTTGGGCAGTAGACAATCAGCATGCCGTAAGAAGATCTAATTTCCAACATAGATTTTCATTAAATGTTTGGGCTGGTGTAGTAAATGGCATGTTTATTGGACCATACTTTTTTCCACCTCGGCTAACCGGTGACATTTATTTAGATTTTCTTTAACACCATCTGCCAGAATTATTAGATGTTCCACTGAATATTAGGCAGGATATGTGGTTTCTACATGACGAAGCTCCACCGCATTTCAGAAGAGGAGTTCGTGAATATTTAAATGAACAGTTTCCGAATAGATAGATAGGGAGGAATGGACCCGTTTCTTGGCCTGCACGCTCCCCGGACCTAACGCCTTGTGGTTTTTTCTGTGGAGTTATTTAAAACAGTTGGTGTATCACGATGGAGAAGTAAATACTGTGGAAGAACTTCAAGACAGCATTGTAAATGCTTGTGACGTTATTCGCGGACATCCGGATTTTATTTTTGAGGCCTGTCAGTACGCCTCGGTACGCCGAGCAAGACTATGCATTGATCATACAAATGGTGACAATTTTGAACAATTTTTTTAAAAATGGAATACATTTTACTGATAATGAATATTTTTAATTTTAACAAACCTATAACTCCCTTATTATGCAACTTTTATTTAGGTGATTTTTGGTATATCGACTTCTACAAGTTGTTAAAATAAATGACTTAACTTTGAAAACACCCAGATATAGTATAATCATAGTATAGTCTATTTTTATGTATGAGAGAGTATTAAAATAATAAAGCGTTCGTAATCCATAGGCATACCACTTATTAGGAAGTTATTCCTCGAGTATACACTTATATTTTCACCTAATTAACCTGCTTATAACTTTTAAACAGCTGAAGGTAAAAAAGTGCAATTTTTCTAAAATGTTTTATTTTTCCACAAGGTATGTTAAGAACATTGTGTCAAACGGGTTATGTAGGTATAAGGGTTTAAACTTTGACTTTTAAACAACGTTACGTTCATAAATAATAATTTTAATATAAAAACTACTTCTTACCTACAAATCCAAATCAGAATCGAAATCAGAAGATGAAATGTCGCAACCAATATTTACAATGAGTGGCTCGATCATTTCATCAGTAATATTGTCCAACTTCCATATTTTCTCTTCTTCTTTAATCGTATGATTTACTGCCTTTTCCCAGTTCTCAGGCTTCACTTTATTTACAGCCTCCAAAAACAACTATTTAACATCACTCATTTTAAAAGAATTATTTTTTCTTGAAACTTCTCCCTTTATTTGTGCCCATATCAGTTCAATCGGGTTTACTTCGCAATGATATGGCGGTGATCTAACCACCGTCATCCCACGATTTTTTGCAATTTCATCAATTTCATATTTTTTGAATTTCTCTTTATGAAGGGAACACAAATGATACAGTTCTTTTCTCACAGAACCGGGATGGAACTTAATATTCTTTGAATTTAGCCAATTCTGTAAATCTTTTTGTAATCACTTGGTTGTGGGCATTTTTTCTATAAGTCTCGAGTAATAACTTTCATTATCCATTACTATTATACAGTTCTAAGGAAGAAGATCTATCATTTGCTCGAACCACTCTTTAAAGACATCAGCATTCATGTCCTCATGGTAGTCACCGGTACGAGTAGATTCAAAAGTCAATAAACCACCTTTAACAAAACCGTTTGAACTACCGATGTGTACTATTATTAGTCTGCGCCCCTTTCCTGATGGTGAATTTAAACCAGTAGATAAATTATTTAAGAAAGCCTGTCTTCGACTTGTAACAGTTTCATCTTGCCAAAATTTATTTGGTTCATGTCCCGCGTTGATCCATGTTTCATCTAAATAAAATATATTTCTTCTTTGGTTTCTCATTTCTTTTATAGTCCTTAGGTAATTTCTTCTCCATACTACAATATCGCTTCTTTCTATTAAAATAGACTTTCTGAAATGCTTTTTCCATAGAAAACCTATTTCTTTTAAAAGTTTCCATAGTTTGCTTCGACTCATTTCAGGGTAATCCTTATCATCTCGAACCGTGGCAAGAACTTTGTCTACTGTCGAAAATTCTTTTCTAAAGAAGAACGCATGTACTTTCCTTCGAAGTCTTTCTTTCAAAAGATTTTCTAATTGAAATTTTGGTTTTCCTGGAGCTTTACGTGCTGTTTGAAACTTGCCACATTTCTCTTCTTTAATAATCTTTAAATCGTAGATTTCCCAAAACCAAGCGTACTACTAATTCCACTGTGTCATCAACACTTTTACATAAATGTTTGTCTGTAAATGATTTAAAACAATTAAATATTATTGTTTTTTCATTAACTGTTAAAGGACCGATTTTTTGTCGTTTACGCGGTCCTTCCAAATTTTCCATGATTACACTAGAATTCACACTGCACCTTGCAAGTTTCAACTAAACAACATTTAGTAAACTGTCAAGAATACACAACTTGGACCTCCTTACTAAATGGAAAACCTATAATCGCATTTTCGGTGAAATTTGTTGGGAAGGTATTTATCTACTTATAATTCGATTACTGTAAGAAATTCTTTGAATTAAAATAAAACAAAATTGGCAAATAGGTACTTATTGAAAATAATCCTATGATACGGCTATGTAATCTTTAATACACAGGGCTTTTGGCCTGTCCAAACCTTTTTATATTGTTCTGTACAGCTTATGTTTATAAAGGACCAATAAAAGACCCAAAACTTGTAATAGCTCAGGTACATTTATTACAATTTTAGGAAATATTTAGATTATTCTCTAAAAATATTTAAAATGACCGTACTAAGTTTTGCATTAGAAATGCTGTTCTATTACTCTCTCATACATAAAAATAGACTATAGTAGAATTTGAATATAGTAACAATTGCATCAGTGAAGGTAAAAGGGGCATTATAGAAGTCTAAAGTACGTGATTAATGGACAAATAATCAATTTATTTCGTTTTCTGGGTAAAAGCAACCGGAAAAAGAAGAAATAACCTAAGAAAAAAACTTAATTGTTAATTGTCACTATTTACATTTTCAGATCCGAAATTGTTATTTTGTTGTTATATTCTAAGACGAAAACTAAGAATTGCAGAAATCTACTAGGTAGTGTTATTTTTGCGCAAAAACTAACCAATTTGTCGAGTAGGCTGTAACTGTAATAGATTCAAAAGTTGCTCCATTAAAATTTCAACAAATTGTGAAAATGTCATTAACCTTTATTAGATATTAATAAAAATACAATTTTTTTTAAAATTTATAAAAATTGATACGTTTTAGAACATATACGTTTCTCCAAATAAAAATTTAAAAGAGCACCATAATAAAAAGCAAAAACCATTGCTTCTCGAAATGACCCTGTTACCATAACTTTTTATATCATCTGAATCCGTGAAATGTTTCACAAAATCCGCTTTTACATATCTTCATAATTAAACAGAGTTGAAACGATTTAAATTCATAAGGATTTTTAATATTTATAATAATTATAGCGAGAGCAGAGGTCAAACCTATTCTACAGATTACAGTGTCTTAAATACATTAATAATTTTCTAATTAATCTTTGAATATTTTAAGAAAACAATGTGGGAGTGTATAGAAAAAAAATGGACGCGCGACATCATACAGTTTTGAAAAATTAACGACCAATGGAAAGCATTTTAATAGATTTTTTTTCAAAGCAATAAAATATATATTTATTGGTTATGAAAATTATGTGAAATTGCAGCTGTAAAGGTGCGCCTTTCATTTTTCAACTATCAACTAGATTTACAACAAATTTAAAAATATACCTAAACGATAAAATAAATCCATATTTTTACATACAGTGTGTTCCAAATTCGAGTATCTGTGCGGAAAAAATGTGACTAGAAAATTTGTATTTATTTTTGTTTATTTATTTAATACAACATCTAACAGAGGTTTACCCTTATCATGATGAGGAAAGAATATGACAACGATTTACTAGAATTAACATGCTTATTCTTGTATTTATGAAATACGAACTAAAATAGACATATACATTCTGAAAAAGAAACCTTAATATTTAAGAAAAAAAGGATAAATCAATTTAAATTTTTAAAAATGACTAAAACAAATTAATTTGACAAAAAATACAGAATTTTAACAAGGCAAAAGTTGGATATATCATTGTTGTTGCCACTGATAATAATAAAGTCGAGAATAATAGCACAGCTTATACAATACATATCCACAATTCCGTGTCGGCGTCTTTGATCTGGCGGTCGAGAACCAAGCAAGACGGAATGGTGCTATCTCTGTTAGATTGGAGGGAAAAGTCGGGCCCGGATTAAACAATTTTTTTATTATTGAAAAAATTGAAAACCTTGGCGTAATAAGGTTGGTTACATGCCATATTAAGTAAGTTTTGGGAAATTAAATTATTAATTTGTTTTAAATCTGTCAAATATAATTAGAAACATTATTTAAATATAAATATTACGAAAAATAGCACATCTTTCGGATTAGAGGTAAAATAATTTGTATGTGGCTAGTAAAATCCTCGTTAACAAATGTTTTGAGCTAAAACAGTCACTTCACGACAAATTGTGGCTTGGATCCTTTTTACACCAAGGACTTCAATTGTTAAAGAATTGTGTCACGCTCGTG